AAATATCTCTTACACACCTTTCACTCTCATCCCACTTCTCTCCTCGTTTGTCAGGTAAACCATGAAATATTAAGTTTGTTCTTCGAGACTGCGCCTCAATTTTATCTGTTTTGGCTTCAAGATCAGAGAGTTTGGTTTTCAATGACATGTTTTCCTCTTGGAGTACAGAGATTCTTTTTATTATAGTCCTGGGCAAACATGTCAACTTGTCATTCAGTTTAGTGATCTGCAGCTGTATTGATGCCAGCGTTGCAACGAGGTCACTCAGTGTTGTGAAGGTGGGTCAGAGGTTATACACTGTCCAGACACATTTTGAACTGATAAACGCGTTTGAATTCTGTCTGATGCAGATTTAGGAGGCCCTGGGTTTGCCTCAACATCGCCAGCAACAAGTAAGAGAGTCAAAGAGAGAAGAATCAGACGCAAACACAAACGAGTCCCGTGTGGTATTGTTATACCGGGGTTCATAACATGGCCTCGCCTGCCTCGTGGACTGAAACATCCAAGTTTCGCCCTCCATTCAACAATATTAACCCCCATATTCGCTCTGAGGTTTATGTGTAAGTTAAGAAAGAATATTGACTGTATGTATCACTAGGAATCTTGCACTGAGGAAACATTCTCACAGCAAAATCATAACAACCGCCATGCCCTTTGATCACGTGATCTCTGTCAATCGCTATCGAACCAAACAGATTGTTTCACAACTCTTTGTTGTATTCGCATTTTCATTAACTGAGCAGAATTCAGGATTAAATCATTCAATGAACTAAAAGCTTGTTTAATATTCACATCTGTAATATTTTCCAGAATTTCTTCTCAATAGATTTGAACATTTGCACTTATTGATTTTATGTAAAGAAAACCCATCTTTATCTGATACACACCGTCTATATTTATACAACTGAAAGTTTAAAAACAATAACTGGTCCCAAAAGTTTACTGAGCACATGGTTTCAAATGATTTCCCCCACTGCCTGAAGTACTTGGCGTTGTTTGGCTTCACAAAATTAATTGGTTTTAGTGGTAGCTACCGTAACGGTAAGGACATGCAAAAATCTCAGATATCATTTTGTACTCATCTCTTTTTGCGATAAAATTCAGAAAAATGATTTTTTGTGTCAGTGTTTGACAGTCATTTTTCCTCAATGCCATTGCTTGCAAACAGGAAGTAGAACTAGCAGACAGTCCATGGAGTAATCATGAGTGCATTTTTTATGTTACGGTAGTCAGCCACTGGAGTTGTGACACATGGGAATTGAATAAAACTTGGATGGTTTGAGGGGGTTAAAATAAACATACAATTATTTTTTCCCCAATTGTGTTACTGTGTAGAATAAACTGAGATAAATCGGTTACCGTAAAATATTGATTTTGACTTCAGTTTGTCGGGTACAAACAATTAATATGAATATGCACGATTTTTTTAGAATGTCTCACATAGATAGATAGATAGATAGATAGATAGATAGATAGATCGTTCGTTTCTTTCTATATATAATTTAGTTTGTGTCAGCAGCAAATATGATAAGCTTGATTGTTACTCAAGGGCGAATATTAGCCTGTTACGGAAAACTATTTCCAGCCCATTTTTATAAACTTTATTACAGTCCATTCTGTTCAAAGAAATAAGAGAATTTGACCATGTCTTCTTGCATTCCATTCTGAAAAGGTGGTATCAAATTTGTATGGCAAGCAGAACATGTACTAATATTATTGCATAGTGTATGAAAGAGTCCTAGACGTCTATTCAGAACTGTCAATTGATGATAGTTGAAAGAATAACTAGGTTAAAAAGTTATTATGAAAACTTATGTGTTGGTGCCTGGTACATGCATATAGGCAAATACTTATCAAGATAAATCAAGATATGATATGATACTTATGTGGAATAAAAGAGACTTTGTTAGACAGGTGCTGCTTATTAAAGGATGCTGGTCAGAATATGTTTTAGTTAAGTAACACAGGGGGTAAGCCCTGTCCATACTCAACAGGAAGTTGGTCGTCATCAAGTACCATTTTCCCGATTGACTGTAGATCCCGGTAGAGAGTGAGTCCCAAACGTTGTACGATTTTGATATTTCCAAGTAGTAAATGTTTCTGAAATCGACTTGTCTTATAAGCATGGATTATAACCCCTATATCATTTGGTCATGACACATTATATTTTGTTTACATTTGAAGGATTTCTTGACATGTCTTTCAGCGCGAATCGAAAAAGCCGAGAAGTCGACCGTTTTCGAGAGCTTTACAAATAATCAATTGAATTCATTTCACGTATTGTGCATTTTTATTCTAAATGAGGTTATGTAGCCACTGTGTCAAGATTTTAGCTTCTGTCAATACAGATATTCACAAAAAACAATAACTGTACGCGCCGATGTTAGTTACTCATGTGAACAAATCAACTGCAGTGAATGATGAAAGTATGAAGTTTGAAGTATGCAGCTGTACACATCATCATCATCATTTATTTCTCGAAACCACCCACGATGGTACATGAGACATAATGGCATATATACTGAACATCATTGAAAACGCACCAGTGTAAAATTTTCCATATTTTCATCAAGATGGATTTCAGCATTACAATGATCAATGAATATAACTAACATGAAGTCGAAGGGCATGTCCAGTTGCAAAAAATAGAAACAAATTCCTGTCCACGATTGTGAAACGAGGACAGAGATGCCGCGGTTAACACCTCACGAAAGAGAACGTGCACAAGGCATGATTCAGGTTGTCACCAGCAGCAGGGATATTGCACGACAACTTGGACTTGGCCACTCCACCATCGTTTGGCTTCATAGACGACATCAGTAGACAATGACCTTGGCAACAACGTGTTACGACGCTCCATCAGGATCGCCATATTGACCTTGTCCATATCAGTGATTGAACACTGCCGTCTGCTAGGACTGCTGCACCAGTTCAAGGTTGACGTGGTGGTCATCAGCGTTGACTCCATGCGATGCCGTCTACACGCTACAGGGTTCCATGCTCGACGTCCTTACGCTGGACCAATTCTGACTGACAGACACCATAATGAGCGTATACAATGGGCTAGTAGGCATTTTCAGTAAAGGTTACAACAATGGCATGGTGTGGTAGTCACTGACGAATCACGTCTTATCTACGTAATGCTGACGGCCGATTACGTGTTTGGCGTAGACGTGGTGAACGTTATGCTGATGAGTGTGTGGTTCAGACAGACCTTTGGGTGGTGGGAGTGTCATGGTCTGGGTGGATTATATTACAATCACAGGACTGCCTTCATGTCTGTCAAGGGAGAGTTAATGCCCTTTACTACCGTGAGCAGATTCTTCAGAATCACATCGTATCTTTCTTCAATCACCACCAAGATGTCCATCTTTTCAACAGGACAACACACGGGCACACACAAGAAGACTTTCCATGCAGTATCTGTCCTAGCAACACATCCATGTTATTCATTGGCCAGCACACTCGCCAGGTGTATCCACCATGAAGCACTTGTGGGACGAAATTGGTCAAAGTCTTTCGCGGCGACAACAGATGCGAAACATCCGGGAACATGAGGCTGCACTATTGAAGAAGTGGAATGCCATCCTGAAGAACTCTGTTCGGACGCTTATTGACTCAATGAGGAGACGTTGAACTGCATGTGTCAGTGCAAATAGCGGTCACACGCGATATTGACATTTCGATTTGACACCACGTGTGTTGGATCCTTTCTGACTGTGGAACATTTCAATGAATGAGCGTCTATTCTGTGTTGTTGTTTTTGTCAGTCGTCCATCTGTTATTATCCACTCAAAAAATATCAATTCCTTACACGTGCTTTTAATAATCTGAACTTTTATACGTGGTGCGTTTGCAATGATGTTCAGTATATATACAGTAAACATCAAGATGACAGAACATACATGAATATAAATTATAAGTCATTTGTAATACCTCAGATCGAACAGGAATACATCTACATGAATACGTCAAACATATCAGATATACAGACAAATGTCATACGAATACACCAGGCATGAAAACAAGTAACGGATGGAAGTTTTTTATGGAATGTAGGGATTATCTCCTAAGTTTTGATGATATTAATTTAAGGTATCTGGAAAGGTTACATAGGATGCTTGTCTCTTTTGATTGAAGAAGGATTGCCATTTTAGTTAAGTTTGGGAATTGGCAGAATATTTTGGGAATATATATAGATCTCTCTTGGGTGAAGGTTTCGCACTTGAAAAGGTAATGGAACTCATCTGCGATAGCAGTTGAGTTATAGAGAGGACAAAGTTTTTCAGCTCTTGGTACTCCACTCCATCGGCCTGTTTCCACAGGGAAGCTATGGTTTGATGTTCGCAATTTCACCAGTTGTAATGATAACGTCTTAGGAAGAAGAAGGTATGATTCAAATCCAAAAGACTGTATAAAATAGCAATAATATAAACCTTTAGGGCTTGCAGAGATATCGCCTTTCCAATTCTGAAAGAACTGGTCTTTTAGAATTCGTTCAGCGTTCGAAACTAACCATGGGGTGGAGTACCCAGATGGATTATTCCAAACATGGTTTAAACCAATGTTATTTAAGAAACGCTGTATACAAGTAAGCCATGGTTGTCATTGTTATTAGTTTCAAAATCTAACCGAACAAACCGAAGCATTATTCGAGAGAATTTAGTTACACCTGTTTGGAAATGTAACATACGCTTGTATATCTTGCTGTGTAAAGTTTCTCTTCCTAGTTCCCCATATACCATAAATTTGGTGTAAGTTTCGTAGGCCGACAGTGAGCTTAAGGAATTTAGATGAACTTGTTCAATTAAGTGTAGGTTTTCAACCCCCCAAACTACTGAGCCATATGTTAAAATTGGAACAACCAAAGTGTCAAATGCTGATAATAAGCAGTCTTGCGGTAAGTTGATATTTCGAGACTTCCTGAGTAGATCATACATTGCTTTTTGTGCATTTTCGCATAGAGATTTTATTGCATATATAAATCGTCTTTCTATGCATGTTATTTCCAAGATAAGTATAGGAATCAACCATCTATATACAATTTCTACCGTAAAAGAAGGCAAGTTTTAATGATATAGCAGGACCGCCTCGAAATATAACAACTTCAGTTTTCACAATATTAACTTCATCATAATACAATACTCGTAAAAAGCATTTCAAAAAATGCATGAGTAGGTGAAGGACAAACATATTATCAGCAGTCATAAAATGTTTTCGAAATACAGTCTGAGCAAAAGATAAAATCTCATTTTTGTTTCTTTTTAATTCCCTCAATGCTTTTTGGATTTTTTCTAACGTTATATCTTTGTTCAATTCTTTACAGTCATAACGTGCTGGTGCAGTATCCGATTCGTCAAATATCTCGGTATTATGATTTGCGTACTGTTTTGTGATGTAAAGTAATCATAGAATCTATTTATATCTGGGGTTGCATTATTCAGGTTTTTAACTGGATGTTTGTTAAATAAATGCAAGAAATCCCTTGGGGGAGTATTTCATGGAATTTCTCAGCATATCTTGTACCTGTTTCTTGTATTTTCGTATGTGTCTATCCATACATTTCTTATAAAATTTCGATGTTTTACGGAACATTTCTATATTTTGAGCGGTGTTTGAATTCTGAAGACGACTTTTAGCTTTATGAAATTGTTTTCGTAATTGTAAACATTCATATCCGAACCACGGTTTATTTATTTTGCACGCCTTTCTTATGTACAAACTGATAACGGGTTCCGAATGTTTCTCGTGCGGCGTTGGTGAGCACGTGCGTTATGCGCTCAGCGAGATCATTCACGACAAGTGGGTCGCACTGACCTCTGCGTGCGTCACGAATCGATTGTAATAATTTGTTTATTTGGAGCGTATTTAAGTTGTTAACAAATACCTCGGATTTAGATTTATCATATCTACCCGGTTTGGAGTCGTTTTCCAATGAGATATTACAAGGATTATCTTGAGTGGAGGTGGTGAATTCTACTGCTTTTAACTTAAAGACAAATGGGCAGTGCACGGCAGAAAACAAAGGTCAGAATTCTTTACTTTCTAGCTCAGTGAAAATATGTCAACATTTTGGTGAGGCTATTAAGTAGTTGATTACACTAGTATATTTGCACGTCGTTTTACCTATTAATTTGTCACTACCAACTCTACTGTTGCAAATAAACATACATAAGGTTTTGCAAATTTCAATTAGTCTAATGTCATAAATATTAATCTTGACATTATCTTGTGTTCCACGATATTTCGATATTGGCTGTTGTGTTTGGTAGTGTTAACTGGGTCCGTTTGATGGGGATCACAAACTGTACGAGTAGAAGACTCATTGTCGTTTATGTGTGCTTCCCTACTACCATGGGGTAGCACTAACTGCCCCTGACCACCGGCACACCCTTATCTAAAGGAGGTCTTGGCCTGGGTTAGCTGTGGGGGTGCACGGTAAGGGGGCGGTATAGACACTTGCTGGAGCACATTATTTACATACAACCAGAAATTATTGAGAATTTAAAGATTGTAATTTTATATTTTTTTTCACTCATTACTCACGTATTAAATGTGAATATTAGCAGAATATAACTCCAGATTCAAAGACAGGTGAACAGTTAGTATTTTGTCAAGTCACCATGGGCAGCAGTAGAGGCTTCAATGCGGCGGGGCATACTACTGATCAAAGAAGTTAGAAAGTCGTGGTCCATGCTGTCCCAATATCGGACCACCTCTTCTTTCATTTCAGCAATATTTGTCAGATTTTTCTTATTGACACTTTCCTTCATAAGTCCCCAAACATTTTCTATTAGATTTAGGTCAGGGCTATAGCTTGGCCAATCTAAGAATGTCATATTTTGGGTCCAAAACCTGGCCTGTGAATACTTTGAACGATGTTTTGGGTCGTTGTCCTGCTGGAAAATCCACAAATTTCCATAGAACACGTGAGCAGATGGAGGTAAATGTACCGCTCACTGTTCATATTCCCTTCAAATACACAGAGGGGCGTTGCCCCTAACACAGATATGCCACCCCACACGTTACATTTCGGACTGTACTTTGGGCGCTGATACAAAGATTTTTCAGTTTGTTTGGTCCAGAATTTCAGTGTATTAGGAAACAGCCACACAGACCTTTCATCTGAGAAAATCACATTGTCCCAGTTAAGATTTCTATGCTGTAAGCACCAGTTCAACCTTCGCTCCTTTTGTTCAGGTTTCATGATCGGTGATGGAATTCCTCGACTTTTCTGCCAACCTATTGCATGCAGCTCAGTTCTAATTGTCTCCTTACAGACAGCCACAGTTCCTCTATCAATCATATCCAGCCTTAAGTTTTCTAAACTCCTTCGTTTGTTTTTAGAAACAAGAATACAAAGCCGCCTCCTGTCACCGACAGTCAATTTTCTGGGCCTACCTGCGTCTCCCTTGTGCTCAATGCCATTAGCATTTGCAATATTTTTCAAAACACGATAAACAGTGGACAAAGGGATGCCTGTTCTACTTGAAATCACTTAAGCTGATCTGCTGTCCTTGTTATAATACTCTAAAATCTACTTCCTCTTCTCTAAATCATCCAAACTGAGGATCACTGAAAATGTCGTCTGCTAGCAAGTAAACAAAGGGGGATAACTCTTCACAAACTAATGAAAAAGGATTTACGGAGATGTCTCTCTTGAATGAAACCAAGCACTTGATACCTGGTCAAGGTTGCTTATACTAGAAATCCAATTGAACATATTCCTAAACTTCTCAATAATTTCTGGTCATACTATACATAGATGTTATCAACAGATATGTGAGCCTTTTGGTTCTTGCTTCTAGCTTCCTTCGTGAGTGGAACTAACACTTCCCTCCTGTAGGAGCCTATCTCCCCTGTGAACTGTTCCATGATAGTATACGGTTTTCCTTGTAAGTTTAGGGCAGCTGCTTTGACACTAACCCCAATATTCTTAAATGTTAGCAAGAACCTCACTAGAGATGCCTTGGCCATCTGTGCGCTTTAATGTCTTTTGAACCTTGTCCAAATCATCTGGCTTTAAGTCACCTTTATCCGATTCTTCCTGTGACCTGTGTTTTTAATATCTCTCATAAAACGGAATAATTTTCCATGAAATAACTTTTTACCGATTCTCCAGAGTTGTTTAATCTCATCTCATCTCTGTATCCCATTTTAGTTGTTTTAAGTGAATACCACTGTATTACGTCTTCAAACAATAGGAAAGCAATGTTATCCAAAGGGAGTTTTCCATTGTGTGACAAACGGTTGAACTTCATCTAGGTGTCAACCCAGCTAACAATCTCACGTTGTCACAGCGTTTAGCTTTGTTGTTACACCGTTATTCTGTGGACGTTTTGATATGTCATTTTTACGTCGCCGCAAAGTTCAAGTTATTTAACTAATGCTAACGTTGTTTTACGGTATATTTAACTTTAAAAGTTGAATAGTTTTCCCAGTAATGAACAACAGTACATAAGAAACAAAGCAGAAATTCACTTCAATGTTTATTTGTCAATTTGCATGAAGTTTTAGTCGTGTGTTTTTGATGCTGAAGCTGAATAGTGAAGAAAGAATCTCTGAAAGGTTTTACAGAAAACTCGGTGACACCAAGTTATAAGAAACGTTGTTTTAACGTTGTGAGGAGCCCAAAGCATTAAGTTTCCTCACGTAACTTTGCAACGTTGTTATTACGTTGTGACATAATGTTATAAAATGACGAAACACTAACGTTGTGACATTACCAATCTACAACCTGGGAAGGTGTCCTAATTCTTTCAATGCGGAAATGACACCTGGAAGAAGTTCAATCACCTCGGACGTGGCATCCTCCTCTGTATTGACATCTCTTTCAAAGCGACTGCTGGTGCTGCTGCACGCAAAGTCGTGGTCAGTGTTATTTTCATCAACCTTCTCTTTCTATGTCCATCAAGGTCAATGTAAATGGGTCTGGTGTACACGACTTGCCACATTTTATGGATTTCTAAGGGAATTATATTTGCAAATGGTTTGGTGTGAAGTTATATTTTTTTACTGTCAATATCAGACATCCTTTGGCAAACCTTGCTGACATTATGTGGATGGTGCTTACAGAAGTGATTAATAATGTTTCAAAATTTTGATTTCTCTGCGCAATAATAACAATGGAAACTTCCACCCATGATTGAAAGCAAACGAACTGATAATCTCAGTACATACTGTGGTTGTAATAGTGACCTACAGAAGAGAAAAAGGGAACGAATCAGAATTCGATAGCTGCAACTACCAAGACAGTTTTGTGTGAGAAGAAACCAACAACCCGTACGGTGATGAAGCAACTACCATCGATGCGTACAGTTATTGTTTTCGTTAATATCTCAGTTTGTATGCTTTGACAGAAGCTAAAATCTTGACACAGCGGCTACATAACCTCATTTAGCCTAATAATGCACAATACGTGAAATGAATTCATTTGATAATGTTGTAAAGCCGTCGAAAGTGGTCGACTTCTCGGCTTTTCTTATTCGCACCGAAAGACGTGTCAAGAAATGCTTCAAATGTAAACAAAATATAATGTGTCATGACCAAATGATATAGGGGTTATAATCCATGACCATTTAGCTTATTATAAGACAAGTCGATTTCATAAACATTTACTACTTGGAAATATTATAATATTACGAAGTTTGGGTCTCACTCTCTACCGGGATCTACAATCTATCGGGGAAATGGTACTTGATGACGACCAACTTCCTGTTGAGCATGGACAGGGCTTACCCCTGGTGAGTAAGGTCATTTGATTTCTAATTTTCATCACAAACTTCACCACTTTCGTTTGTGGATGGTCAGCCAAAGCCTATATCCGATGTCATTTTCACAAAGGAGTAATACATTTGTAGTTTTCAGCTACCAAACTCTGCTGTTTTTAAGGATGTGTACCTGCCTTTCTTCGAAAGATTTAATACAACGTGAATGTTATATATCTTCTTTCCAATCCATTGCTGTTTCCAGAGCCAATGGCACCCTTCAGTGTACTACATTTTCTTGACGTGTCTCCCATTTATATGTTCTTTTGAGGGTATTGTGGAATTACAGACGTGTCTCTTTCTTTCGCAGTCAGTTTTGGTTCTGGGTTCTACAAAAAATCTTCATGTTCCATGTTGGTCATACTAAGTCTGTCTGTACGATTGACCTTTAAGAATGGGTATTCATAAACCCCACTAATTGACTGTCTGAGGATTTCTGCTTTACTACACCAAATTGACTTTATCAGTAGAGTTGTTTGAACAGTTAAAATGACGTCTCTTCAAAGGCCTACATTGGCGACGTCTGTCATTCAGTGAGGTAGAACGATCAACCCACCCTGAATACTGCTAATTTCTTGCCACGACGGTACCCGTTTTACCAAGGCTTTCCTAATTTTGCCACTACAAATACATGCAAGGCATTCCGTGCTACCACTTAACAATCCTAATTAACAGCTACTTGGCCCAGAAATATGATAAGGCAAATGAATTTGAGCCACGTGTAAATTTCAGCATCCTTGTACTACCGAACTGCGATAAATTCCACATTACTTTTGTATTGTTTCACCATACAATTATTCATTTTTATTCAAAGTTACACTTTTAGTTTGTTTCAAAGTTAAAGTTGTTTCTTGTTTCCTTGTTTCTTTTGTTTCAAATTATTAACCAATGCAAAGAGACGCCTAATGTCGGGTGGTCACAACACACCGCCTGCATGTGTGACAACTGGTGTATAACAGCAGTTAAAACTCCTTAAATTCCTGCTTGAGGCGAGGATTAAATATATATGCATGTGAAAAATACTTTCTCTTCCATCTGTAGATGAGTCTGCATTTTACAAATGCCCCGACCGTCTCCGCCTCCCTCTCATCTTCTACTTCGCCCATACAGCCACTGTCTACGTCAATAAACTTCTTCTTGCGGGCTTTATCAAGGTAATTTTTTTCTTTTTTGTTTTCGTATGAAAACAACGATTACATAATTAAAAACGCAGGAGACGGCAGAATTGCTACAAGCACCACATATCATCATTGACCATTGTTGAAAAGTACAAAACAGTGTTTCTTTCTTTCAGGACAGAGTGAATGTTGAATTTGAAACAATGTTTGAAACTGGCGTAGATGAAATGTCATGGGACGACACGGTAAGTCGCAGCGATCACATCAAGGATCCAACATCAGGTAATTTACTGTTTCAGGAGTAGACGTGGCCAGTGTACATTAGGTACTTTACATTTAGCACATTTCCTGGTTTAAAACAGTTTCCGCTAATATGATATATTTCATACCCAATAGTTTCATTGGGTTTAAGATGAAAAGAACTGTAATTTCAAGAGATGTTAAATCCGGTACACATAACTTTCATCTGCATATAGTATATCAGATGCAGATTACCCCTGGGTACAGAGTACATCATATACTTGTAGAATATGTAGGGCAAATGCAAAACTTCCAACACATTGGTATATGTAAGGTAGATTCACAATCACAGATGGATGGTTGGATGGATGGATGGATGGATAGATAGACAGATAGCTAGCGAGTATTACAAAAATCACGTTAGGCTTTAGTGGCAACAGCAGTAATAGTCATCTTTCCGCTTACAGACCACTTACAGAAGTGTTGTAATAAACATTTTGCTTAATGGTCTATTTGTTGTAGGAGAACTACCGCATGGGAGGAAACTTTATATGGCCTACCCTGGACAAAGTGGTGGAGTACAGACGAAAAGTGAGAAATCTGATTCTTGACCAGATAGATAACACCCCACTCACTCTGCCTGTTACAATGGACCATTCATGGGTAAGACGTTTGTATTTCGTCCTAAATTCGTGTTATAATAACGTGTGTCATTGGCGTCGGATTACCACGACACACACCAAGATTCGTTCTTTAAATATGTGTTCTGTCGATCAGCCACGGCGGATATAGCCATCCTGTGGAACCTATATGAATGCAAAGAATATATATGATTTATGTCTGTTTAAAATAGTGGGGCCTTATCATGGGAATGGAGCATGAAAGGATTCACGTGGAGACTTCATCTGTTCTCATACGCCAATTGCCCATACATTTGGTCCTCAAGCCCGAAAGATGGACATATGGCCCCGTGAAAAGTGGTAGGTATGAATTATATTTCGGGTTTGTTTTTAATATTATTTGTTTTGGTAGCATTGAAGATAAAACATAATACTACGGTCGCAATTTATTATGACGCAACATGTTTGTTCAGGAAACGAATATCACAAATACAACGAAATATACCTCTATTAATAAGTTTTTGTTGGTCATTAAACTTTATTTGAACACACACACACACGCATGGATATGTGCCTGAAGATATTATATGTAAGTACTTTCCAGGCTCTAGCGCGACTGAGAACACACTACTCTCCATGGAGGCAAAAGACATCACAATTGGCAAGCCTAAAAGCTTTCCTTCCTATGGGTGGGACAACGAGTATGGCCAAGCTGAGATACAGTAAGTTATGGGGTCGGGGTATTCATTGAAAGATTCCAAACTCGATACTCTGAAATGATAATATTGTATGTAATATGAATGCGTAAATGAACATATATTTAAAAGTTAGTATATATGCAAGGCTGATAATTTCATTATCATATTCCAAGTGTGCTATTATTCCCTTTCGAAAAGGATGGGATATAGATCATATATATTCATCAACAGTCTTAGATTACTTCTGTACACATCTGTGCACCGCTTTCGAATAGTAAGTTCACATTTTCATGAAGACCAGGTTATCATCACTTTTGACACTGCATTGCGTGCAAGTTTTGAACAGCTTAAATACAGATGTCCAAGTATATTTATAAAACCCAGCATATTTCTGAATAGATTTACCCTTGCAGTGACATCTGATACGTCACTATTTAATACTGTGGTACACAATCAAGAATTTTTGTTTTTCAACTTGCTAAGGGCGTTGAGTTGGCGCATTATGAATTATCACATTATCGTTAGTACTTACAGATTGAAGTAGAGGGTTAGGGTAATCGGTCAGGCTGGTTAAACACGTTATCATATCAGGAACTTCCATATCAGCGGCGAGTCGGACTTCTCCCTGGAAGCGCTGCCCAGTCGAACCCACGAAGAACTTTCCGCAGAATATGAAGGCTCTCTAACACTGCAGCCTGCATTACCCAGAGTGTCAGAAGGGCTGTGTTCCCGTCGGAGAACCCATGCACCAAGAACAATGGGGAGCCTCACGTCAGTGTTTTTGGGATGCAAGCGATGCATTTCAAAGGCGATATCCCCATATTTAGAATGTTTTTCCTGAATCACGCCAAACATGTTGCTGTCAAAAGGGACAGATAATTCAATGATATAAATAAATTCATTGGCTTTATCAAAAAGGACAAGACCAGGTTTGTTTGGCTGGAATTCTTCTGAGGCTGTATATGAACCTATTCCAAAGAAGTTCAAAAGCATCATTTTAAGTGACGCCCTGGACATGTTCAGAGTCGTACCATGGATGGACCTCGGAGTCAAAGCCAAAAGCATGACGAAGACGATAGTAGAAGCAGCGAGCCATGTCATCATGTCTTTTAAGATATGTTGTTTGTGCCATTGAACTGTGTTGGACATTCTCAGTAAATTCATTGCAAAGTGGACATTTCATATTAGTAGTTTGTTCAAGAATAACATTTTGGCGATTGCGAGTGGGAAGTGGACTGGTCCTGAGCAGCAAAAAGAGAGCCCTCATTTTCACATTTACGACCAGCCGGTTGGATTACTGTTCTGTTCCACACACTGCATACACACGATACAGTGGCTTCTCAGAAAGCTTCTCCACAAATGACCGACACTGGGCAGTCTTGGTGAAGGACTTCACCTGGTTTACTGCCATCGCTGTACCGTCCAGCAGTACATTGCCATCGACAAAATCAGATTCTGTACAACAACCTTGGCACGCTTAAAATAGCGAATGTCTTGACATACATCACCAGAGGATCAACCGATAAATAAATATATGCAAAAGTACACAGTAGAATTAAATCATGAAGAGCGTCCACATTAATCAAACCCCTACCATCCGAATTGACTGGGAGGAACGAGGGTGGTGGGCTCTGTTATCAGACATGATCCTTCTGGTCAGGCGGTCAAGACTCTGGATGTCTTGTTTTGTTCGATCAACTACTCCAAAGATATAGGAAAGGACTTGCACAGCAAAAGAATGGTGGCTTTGACTTTGTTTCGAATAAGTTAGCTCTGAGCTCCAGAATTTCTTTTAAGCGGGATTTATATGCGACCCGAAGTTTGTCTTGAATTTGGGCATTATTATTATCATCAGTGATGGCGACGTGAAACAATCAACTTGTCTGAATTTATGAAATTTTCGTTAGCATAATATGTGCCTTTGTTATATTCCAGTGTGCCGCCATTTAAAGCATCTAAATATCTGGTGACCAACAGGGAGTTTCTAGGTTTTGTCCGTGCTGGTGGATACAAGTGCAAGAAGTATTGGTCAGATGAGGGATGGAAGTGGCGAGTGTTCAAACAGGCAAACCACCCGGTGTTCTGGATCTGCAATAACGGTGCTTATTTCATCTAAACTGTATTAATGGCTGAAAGAACATTTGATTCAAGATACAAGATTGTGTTGTGTAAAGCTCTCGTCACGTGAATTATTGAAACAAGTAAATCCCGACATGCATTTCTCTTCTGTCCAGTGTGTACTATGGAAATGACTTCCGTTGTTCATAGTCGAAGACTTAACAGATGAACTGATTTCTTACAGGATGCATAGGGGGATGTGGTGGGGACCTAGCTGACTGGTCTCACTGCCATATCAAAGGTGTACCAGAGAAGATACTTGAAAAGGATGAAAACGACTGTCCCAGCGTTGACACGGAATACAGGTTTAACCATTTTCCTGCATCGCGATTAAGCGTCTGCAGTAACGAATATGGGGTTGATGTTGGTGGGTGGGACACACACATGACGCTACTCGTGGGTATAGATGTTTAATTCAGAGAGCACGATTATGACAAAAATTATATTAATATTCATCATCGGCATTGAAAATATGACATTAACATCATTATGTATTCAATCTTAAAACATAACATAACTAATACACACTCACGCCAAACTACATACTAGCTATTAGTTAGAAGAGTACATATAACATTGAACGTACAATTTCAAACACATAGAAATTATGTGTGTGTGTGTGTGTGTGTGTGTGTGTATATATATATATATATATATATATGTGTGTGTGTGTGTGTGTGTACGTGTGTATGTATTTGTATGTATGTGTGTGTGTTGGCGGTAGTTGCGTTATGCTAGCTGAAGGAAGCGCCAGTAAAATCTTTCAACAACACCCACTCGCCGTCTGTGCAATGCCTAAAGAGTAATGCGCTTTCGGTAACATTTGGGTTTTCTGCAGTTTGCATGGATATTAACACTTCATAGGTGACCTGTATCGAGTCGTTACGTGTATTTCAAGTATATATACCTGCTCTCGATTCACAAATTCAGTTGCAACAGCCCGAGTGTAACAGTGTAATGGATACTGTTACAAACTACTGAATTACCTTAACTGCTGTGAAATCACAAGTTCACTTGCGTGAGCGTGAGAGTAAGTGAGTGAGTGAGTGAGTTTAGTTTTACGCCGTACTCAGCAATATTCAAGCTGTATGGCGGCGGTTTGTAAATAATCGAGTCTGGACAAGGCAATCCAGTCATTATCAGCATGAACATTGATCTGAGCAATTGGGAACCGATGAACATGTGTCAACCAAGCTCAGCGTGAGAGAAACAGCGTTGTGGATATTGGTACATGCAACACAAATACAGAGTACGGGCGATGCGTGTCACATTTCTACTTGGCTGTTGTTGATATTTATATGGAAATGATATCTACACTCACAACAAAATAAACACCATAAACAACCACATAAACAATAACTACCTTTCCCTTTCCCACACCCACATCTACATACAATGTAGATATCATAATGATATTCTTAAATCCAGATCCAGGAATGCAGTTCAAGCTAAATTATCTAATTTTACAGAACGTCCAGTACTTCCAGTTAAAATGTTTTCAGACAGCACAATAAATTTGTCTGAACTGGTGAGGATGTCATCAATACAGTAAAAAGAAATAAATAATTAGCAATTGAACGTGCAACCATTATTCTTATTTCTTCCAAGCCAAATCCAAACCATACCACACAATCCTTTGTATCTAACCCTTGTCCATAAGAATTCAAAGTTAATTACTGAAGCATTTCTCATTACTGACAGTGATATAATCCATAATTACTATAGCCTTTACTACTTGCGACATCTGCGTGACAGGTACAAATGGCTAGATTGTATCCAAGCCAAGGAGCCATCATCGTTGTTTGCAACTATATTTATTTATTATTATTATTGTTATTTATTATTCCGCCGATTTTTCTACCAAACATACCTCCTAAACCAGTGTTCAGAATCGCTTACAAAAAATCACACAGATGTCCACCGAGGTGAAGATATTCCCCTTAAAAATCTCTAGGCTCTAAGCCCAATAGCAAAGGGGAGTTAATTCAAAATTAATTCCAAAATTTCAAAGTTTGACAGCAAATATCTCAAGTATATTTGTTCCAACATTTCCAAATCTCTTGTACAGATGCACAATCGAATTCCCAACAATTGTGCCTGGACGGGTCAAGTCGCTAAAATGTACTGTTTGGCAGTTATTTTTGTTTTCAGTTTTTGGCCATGTTTTTCAGCAGTTTTCTGAGTAGTCTGCTCCCAAAATGTGCTGAGCTCGAACCATCAGCTCTCAATATTCCAAACTTTCCATAACTGATGTCCAGTAACTATTGTTCCAATTTTGCACAAAAAGAAGTCTTGGTGATTCCAGAACACTAATTGTTTTGACCGTAATCCCAAGAACAGCTGAGATACAGCCTTTTAAAGAGGGAACTATTTCTTCTCCAGAACTTCTTAAAACTACATGACCCCGCGACCCCGGCTGTGTTAGGAAGAGCCGCTCGCCTGTAAAAAACGTGTTCTGTCTCCGTTTTGGACGATTTCTAGTCCTCAAATACAATTCAAACACCCGTAACTCTCAAACCAACCGTCCGATTTCGACCCAAATGTACCTGTCCAAGTGGGCTGTTAGTGTCGATTATAACTAGTGATTGCAGTAATGTATCTCCAAAGACAACAGAGGGACAAGTGAAATTATATTTTTTTAGTTGCTATCTTCATCGGTGAAAGTTAGCTGTATGTATCTCAAACGTTAGCTGATCATTTTCTGTACTACGGTTCCTGTTTCCTGATGGCGGTGTATAGTACAGTTATAGGATTACAAAAATATAATATCTTACTATTATATACAAATACTTAAAACTTAACTCGGCCACACTTCGAACAGCTAAAAACAGCTTAAAATGCCTGAGTATACTTTTAAAACCCAAACTGTTTTCTGAATAAAGTTACCCTCACAGTGACTTGAGAAATGAGTGGCAGTTTACAATGAATGTACCCTACAGTATCCCTGATAATATCTTCATCGTACCAATACAATGCATGTTGAATTATTATTTCCCTCACTAAAGTTTGATATGAATAAAGTACACACAAGGAAATATACCTGTCATTGCATAAATATAATCTTCTTGACAGATACCTTATGTTGTTTCATAAAGAAAATGGTTTTGTGTTGCAATAGTTCCATACAGATCTGGTTTTGTGTATATGCATACAAACGTTGGGGATCATGACCACCTTTATGCAGTTTGTACGTGGCTTACATTCAGCATTACATTTTTTCAGTAAGGTACAGATTCTAGTACCTTTAGTGGAAGCCACGGTGGCTGAGTGGGTTAGATCGCTGACGGTTTGGTGCCGTACTCTGAGAGAGTGGGTTCGAATCCTGGAATATGTACTTTACTGACAAGGAGTACTTCTCAGTATCACATACGTTACATCTGACCAATTTCGAAATTGCATTGTGTAAGTTATACATTTGTTCAGGCTGAGGTTGATGTTTGATCTGGTAAACCTTCCCATCGACTGGCCAGTTGAAGTTAATTACCACGAAGCAAAGGCATTTTGTTACTGGAAGGGAGAGGATTTCCGCTTACCAACCGAAGCGGAGCATAATGTCATGAGAGGCAAGCAGGTTAGTCTTAACTATGTGTCTTTGTCTAGCATAAGGAACACTTGTTGAATCTGGATGTGTGTACGTGATTGATTTTCTCTCTCATTAGCGATCAGTGAGCGATGGTACAGCGTGTGACATCATATACAGTGACAACATCGAAGCCAACTTAAATCTTCAATACGGCTCCTCAACTGTGAGTATGGTATTCGGTGATAGTCGGGACCTTTTAACATTTGTTTGAGTCGGGGCTGATGACTAGGTATAAGTGAAAGGGGTGGAAAACAATCATGGCATATACCCTGGTTCAATCAGGGTATCGTGGTTCAATTAATCATACACATTCTTTCCAACATTTTCAGACGCATTTTCCGACAGTCACACAATAATGATCCCACTCGTTAAAACATATTGTTATTGACGACTTGGTTCTGTCAGTGCTTAAAATATCAACATCAAGCATCACTGTCCAAAATGTCGTTAATATTGTTGACTCTTTGTTCGGTAGCCTGTTAACCTGTTCCCAAGCAATGAGTTGGGTTTCCATGACGTATGTGGGAATGTATGGACATGGGTGGAGGATCACTTCAATGGACTCTCCGGATTTGACACACACTGGTTGTATGACGACTTTTCTTCGCCGTGCTTCGATGGTCATCACAACATGATACTGGTATATATCCCTTTAACTAATGATTCACTGCTTTGGAACATTTGAAGAATTGATTTTCTATTCTAAGTTCCTTTTCATAAAAACTATCAAGAAAGGAAGATATTGATATGTGTATGTGAAGACATCTTACGTTTAGTTCATACCCAAATAACATGCATGATGAGCCATGATGAGCCCTTTGTTCGACTCACTTGAACAGGGATCATGTCTATGAAGCCTCCATGTCAGTACTGGGTCCTCTGCATCTCAAATCAACGTGAAACTTGGTATACATAATTCTACCATGCGAAACTTATGTGAAGTTTTTCATCATTTTAAAAAATTGAAACCCAGTCAATATTTCTCTGTATTTTCAAACTACAATTACAGTATGTTACAGCAAGGGTTTTTATCAGTTGTTGTAGATGGTGGTGAAATGAACTGTAGTTATTTACGAACACCCAGCATAAAATGTGTTAATTCTGACACACTGTGACCCAAATATTACCCAAAGCGGTTTGATATAAAATATCGTTTGGAAGCTTATGACTCTGTCTCTTGACTATGCAGACATATTTTATTTGATTCTTTTTGGATTTGCCTACGGTCTATTTCTGAATACCCCACCAAATATGTTTGAAACAGGGCATACGAACTCATACTTCGGTATCGCGTTATTGGAAGCAGTGTGGTATCATAAACAGTCCATCGTCCATACCATCACTAATATACGAAACATGTCGACACATCAATACAACATCAATCAACTCGTCAACTTACGACCTTGAAATTCATTTTTGAAATGGTGCACAGTTATTGATTGTGCTTAACAATAATTGTATGTGTCAGAACATTAACCACATAACAGATTTTGTTCGTTAGATACATTTTGAAATATATCATAATGAAAACTATATGTAGCTAAGTTAATTAAACGTATGTGCTGTAACAATAGGTATTATTTTGTTCTGCGTTAATCACTTCACCACACGATAATCCGAAAATGCTTTAACCACTAGGTTACATGCTGCTACACTGTCGAACGAAACTTATAAGCTGAGGACATTTCTGATTCTTAGACACCAAAAATGCGCATGTATTTGTTTCAATAATGAAACAAAGATGTCCACTACATAAACTAGAGCGCACATAAATACTTACAAAAGCTTACACGCTCCTAAATGTTTCATTGCAAATATTTTTAAAGTTTCAATACATGAGGTAGGCAAATATAAATGTTTCAAATGGTTGGGCGCAATTAATGGTTCGTTATGTACACTAAAGCGCCAAAAATGGTTCATTGCATAAGCTAAAGCTTAGAAAAAGTTTCATTGCGTGAGTAAGCGCGTATAAATGTTTCATTGAATAATCTTAAAGGTCACATGCAACGTAAAATACAACTTTGCAGATTCTGATACCTTTCGGTATGGACTTACCGAAACAAAGCGTCAAAAATGCAAATTCAACTTATAAAGTTGAAAAATAACGCGATGAAAAAAAACGCGCGAAATCGGAGTTCAAACGTTTCACTAATTTTCCCCCGACTTTTCTGGGAAATACGGGTTTCAACAGCTGGGCTGCGCTCATAGCACGTGCGCAGTGAAATAGGTTCGCGCAACTTGGAAGCGGGCTGTCTGGTGAATACTCGGTGAAGGCTTTGGTGTGAGCTATTTTCATAATGTTTTGTTGATATCTCACAGGCGCGAGCTTTTTATATGTTATGACAGTAAATAAACTGTTTATATAATTTCATTTGTCTATTTCACCACACGTTCTTCTTACCGAGTCACTTTCTCAGTTCGATACTTAAAAGCAATGTCATTATTTAGAGTTGACAGAATTTCTAACTGTGATATAGATATGTCGCTGTCACAGACAAAACTCAATGTCTTGTTTTATTGACACCTGTGTGTCTGCCTGCCTGTCTGCTAATGACAATATTCAATACACAACTGCGATCACTGACCACATGCAATTTGAACTTAACACCAATCAGGCTATACACCATAAACAAAACGCATTGAGTTATGGCCCGAGTTCGGTCTCTGTCACATTATGTAATTACACAGACAGGCAGGTGTGATACTTGAACACATGACATGTTATGATGTCTGTTGATTGCAAAATGTTATACACAAAAAATGAGCATGTATTTACAAAACCCAACTTTCTATATATACACACACAATGAGCCGTGAAGGCGGCGTCTGCTAATGAACCAGCCGTTACACTTGAGTGCACACCCACCCGCTCTGACTGGGTTCGGTATCCCGGCTGCTTCGTTTCGAGGGAGGTAAACCCAAGTACAAAATATTGCACTTTTGATTTGCGATTATACGCTTATAATTTTGTTTATATGTTTTTTCATAATCAGCAATGCTTATTATATGTCATGAATAAGTGATAATTGTGTTTTAATTATGTTTGATTTTTTGGTTACATGTAACCTTTAAGCAAATATAATTTTCTCATTACATAAGCTAAAGCTCTTAGATATTTTAACACGTGAGAATTTACCTTTAGGGGCAACTAAGGGGACAAGAAGGTCAGATTCGTTGACTGAAATAATACATGTCGTTTCCCAGTTGCTTATACCGATGCTCATGAAATCAGGCACTGGATTGTGTGGTCCAAAAGAATTAATTACAGACAATATTTATAATACTGCTGGGATATTGCTGAAAAGCTGAAAAATAAACAACAAACAAACATAAATCTATCAATACAAGAGCTTGGGCGCTCTGAAATGTCTATTTCCTGGAACCAGGACGCATTTAAATCTTTCATCACATAAGGTACAAGGCATATAAATGTTTAGTTACCGAATCTAGGACGCATTTAAATCTTCCATTACATAGAAAACCTATAAAAGATTTGAATGTTTCATCACATAAGCTAAGGCGCTTATAAATGTTTAAATACGTAAGTAAGATGAAGTATATGTTAAAGAGCAACTTTGCTTATTTCAATATTTTGGGCATACGTTATCACAAATACATGTACTTGACAAAAATGAAAGGAGAAAAACGGAAATAGCCTAAAACAAACAATAAATTGACTGGCGAAATTACTTCAAAAATGAAAGAGTCCACGTTTTCAGTTAAAATGTGTTTCCTTCATTGGGGTTGAAACCTGTTCTCGGTGTCGGAAGAACAATTGCAACGAATGCCGGTGCTCAGTCTCACTGAAGAGACCGTTCTGTCTAACTTCCTTGGGAGGTATTTAGGTTGTTAGAAACCTACATCGAAAGCTCGCTCTGACTGCAATAAAGAAGTTGTTCTTCCATATATTGTTATCCTTCATCACCGTTCTGTCTGCTCATCCTTTTACAGTCTGTAATTATCGTGTCAATAACGTATGTCGCATGTCTTAACAGGAAAACCCATCAAAATCTGGGTAAGAATTGATTTTCGGCTACCATGCTTGTCGTGAGAGGCAAGTAACGGGATCGGGGATCAGGCTCGTGGACCTAATGGGCACATGCAAATCTCTTCCAGTTGCTTAGATCAATGTTCGTGCTGTTAATCACTGAATTGTCTGGTCCAGACTCGAATGTTTACAGACCACTACCATGTAGCCGGAATGTTGCTGAGTGCAGCGTTAAACAACAAACAAATGTTTAAAGTAACAACAAAGAGGATCCCTTCAGTCAATGTAAATGATAAATCCACGTGAGACATTCAATGTATGAAATAGGACCGAGGACAGCAGGTCAGTTGTACCCAAACAGGATGCTATAGAGAGCTAGTCATGGACATTATCATAAGTATTGACAATGTCAAACTTAAAGGTCGTTCACACACAACAATACATGCATGTAATGATAAGATTTGTAGGAATCACCGAAATAGCCATCTTGATTGTGATGTGTGCATACGAAAATCTAAGCATCACAGCAAATATTATCTCACAGAAGCAACATCAAAGACTTTTAGAGAGTCATCCAATGAAACGTGTCACACACTGCAGCACGTTTGCAGCATATCCCATCAGATACATAGAGACTACTACACGAGGTCTCATTACATACGAATAATACGAAACGAGTTTCCTTCCTATGAGATCACAAACCATAGGAAGGTCACGAGTTTCGTATAACTCGCATATAATGAGAACGAGTGTGGTATTTTATTTTATTACCCACGTCTTAAATGCATTAAATTAACAAAATAGCGTATTTTTGTTATTGTTATGGTTTCAAACCGAAACCGGTTTCATAAAGAGGTTGCAGAAGGATTTTGTTCTGTAGTACACTTTTGCATGACGTCACACTGTAATGACGTCACTACGCCATTCTCGTCTGTCCCCTTGGTAACCGACGTCACGATGCATGTCAGTTGTCATCGCCTCGTACAGCCTTCTACAGTACACTACTCTGTAGAACCCCGTTTCTTGGTTTGCAACTGCTTCACTCGGCTAACAGCACTGGTGGAAACATTGCGTTTATGTTTTTCGACGGATATAATATCTCAGTTCGACTCACAATTAAACAACGACACGGCAACGTTCGCAATATTGACATTCCCACAATGCATATAAGTTGTAGAGAGAATAAATTCACGTGTTTGTTACGAATGAACAAGTAGTTCCGTCAGAACGTGACCTAACTGAGAGGTCATCGGTTATCCAATCAAATCGTTAGAATCTCAGTTCAAGTCGTTACGACACAGGTCAACGCGATACCACACTCGTGTGACGTACGAGATTAGTATGCAACTACCCATACGTTGACCACGTGGGTAATAAATTTGTTTAGGAAGTTATTGTGGAGTGATATTTCAGCACTTTTACGTGGATATTTACAGATGATTCTTTTAAAATAAACTCTAATTGTCTAAATGTATCAATTACTATCCAAGAAATTCATATTTTGAATTGTAAGGCAATGAATGGTATAATCACAGATGCAGATAGAAAAATGTTGAAACTTCCCAAGTTGTTTCGTATTATGTGTATAAATAAATCAGCAATTATTGTGCAGAACATATTTAAGTATCACTATATGGGTTAATTGTCTCTCTTTGCTGACGGTTAAAACTGTTGACTGCATACTCGGGTGGTCTACTGTGTCTGGGCATCAAAGGTTGATATTATGTCAAAATGAGCTATATGTAATCTGTACCTAACCAAAATCCCGAAGGTCCCCACTGGATCTGAGGGTCTAATTAGTATTATAAAGAGTAAATGAACAGAGCGAGACAATATCAAGAAACGCCTACTCCTGAATCCCATCAGTTTCAGTGGTCTGTACTTCGTGTTAAAAACAGCAAACAACTTGAGCTTCGTGAGGTTCATCCATAAAGTTGTATACTTCATTTTTGTCTCACAAACTTCTGGAATGCCGATCAAACAATATTACCTGTTAACATTTGGAGAAGAAAGAAAGGTGCTGGTTGTTGACAAACAAATGGGGCTCGAATTACAGGAAGGTAGCCCTCATCAACCCAAATTGTGAACGAAAGGTTTTTTATGATTCTGAGTGAATATTCCAGCGATAAAATCGCATCCCAATGTCAATGTAATCCATGATCTGATTTGTATGCATGTTGCTGAGACGCCGTGATAGTGTTTCAGGTTGTCAAGATAACCCTATCTCTATAAAGTCGTATCAATTTTCAATATAAGTTCAATTTTTTTAATGTAGCTCATGAAAATACAGTTATGCTTTAAAGATCAGTTTACCACGATGGTTAATTTTGAAAATCAGTTCTTCTGATGGTATATCACTAAGATATGTTTTACTATAAAGGGCGGTTCTTGGATATCGACCGGAGATGAGGCATCTCGTTTCGCCAGGTTTGGCTTTAGACGACATTTCTTCCAACACCTTGGATTCCGACTTGTGCAGACAATAGACCAACCGAAAGATGGGAAAGTGTCATTGCCAGCCCGAGTTGTGAATACACCAGTATTCGTGTTAGGGCAGGGCGTCACAGGTATATTTGGATAAAAATATTACTCAAACCAAGCATGTTTTAGATTTCTTTCCATTTATGTTCGTGCTTTAATGAAAGAAATTCTGCATACTGTTTGACGTGTTTTTTCCGTGTGAACCAGAAACAGAACACTGAAATAGATAACGTGCGTATAGGGTGCAACACCTCCGTTGACATTGTAAAATCATAATTTGCATAATTACATCAACTATTGCTATCGTGAATGATGAAAACAAGTCGCCTTGTCAGCTGATGTAAAACAACAAATGCAAAATATAAGATGTATTATGAGTGTTATTTAGTAAACAAACAAGTTCAAGTCTCATTGTTGACATATCACATGTTTGCACACTTTTGTGAATATGAATTTGTTTTGAAGAAATTGTATTTGTGTTTAGCCAACAACGGAAGTCTACATGGGAAGTATCGTGTTGAGAGTGTTCCTACCACAAACCTCAACTATTGCTATGAAGGTGAAGATTCACTGGTAGGAATCTTGGAATTGGAATTCGGCTTCCGAGACTCGGGCGTGGCCGTCCTGGCCGCGATGTGTGTGGACTACGCGCGTGACATGGGCATCCCAACAAACACAGCGCTGCATCTTGGGGCAGGAACAGGACGGGGGGCGTTTGAACTTAGCAAGGTTTTTTTGCAAGTAAGTGTCAATTTGCGATGATATAGTTTTAAGCAATGTGGCTTATTATTCCAGACAATGTTTCAGAACGTGTATAGGATCGACAGAAATACTCATTTGGCACATATGTGAGTTTCTGGTGTCCCCCGCCGTGATATTGCTGGAATATTGCTAAAAGCGGCGTAAAACCAAACTCACTCACTCACTCACATATGTGAGTTCGACAGTCCCTGAAAGCACTAGTAAAAATAATGGGTATTTTACAGCAATGTTTTGCACACTTCGATTCTATATATATATACTAGCCACATAAAGAAACTGTGCATTGTCAAAATGTGATCCCAGTTGATAAGTACGATAACAATGTCACTATATACATATGTACATATTAACTTTAATGGAGGGATCATGAGACCATAACAAGTCGGGAGAATATCAATTGAAAAGTCAATCACAATGACGTCACGAATCCACAAGTGGGACAGGGGTCAAACGACCATGTCACAAGCTCAATAACGGGTATGTCCGACATCGGCATTGAGAACAGCAGTACATCGACGACGCATAGAGCCTATCAAACGTGCAAGGAAGGCTTGTGGGATGTCACACCAGATTCTCTCAAGTTCTGTTGCCCGCCATGATGTTGCTGGAATATTGCTAAAAGCAGCGTAAAACCAAACTCAGTCAGGCAGTCAAGTTCTGTTGCAAGGTCAAGGACGTTATCTGGCGAATGAGGAAGACGGCGCAGATTTCGATCCATCTCGTCCCAGACATGCTCTATCGTGGAGAGATCCGGTGAATTTGCAGGCCAAGGCAGTAAGTCAACGTTGTGGTGTTGCAAGAAATCCATAGCAACCCTTGCCGTATGAGGGCGGGCATTGTCCTGTTGGAATGTTAACCCAGGGCCATGACGTTGCAGAAAAGGAATTGCCACAGGTCGAAGAATCTGATCCCTGTAGCCCACACCAGTTAAGTTGCCCTGAACAATCACCAAAGGAGTTCTTTGGCGTGCTGTTATTCCACCCCAAATCATCAGGGAACCACCACCAAAGCGATTTCTATCCAAGACACAGGCCTGTGCATAACGTTCTCCCACGCGTCTATAGGCACGTTGACGTCCATCACTATGGGAAATGTTAAACCTGGACTCATCTGTAAAAACAACATTTCTCCACCAAAACAAGGGTCTGCGGACATGATTTCGGCACCACATTCGGCGAGCTTGTCGATGACGTTGTGTCAGGATAGGCCGTATGGCGGGACGTCGTGGTCTGATCCCGGGGTGGATACGGCGAAGTCCTGGGATGGTTCGGGCAGTCATCACTGCAGTCTGAAACCTGTGGCGAAGATAGGTCACCCTTATCCATATGTCCTGTCTTGGCGTTGTTACACGTGGACGTCCAGAACTTGGCCGATCGATGACGTCATTTGTGTTCTGGTAGCGTCTCACCAGTGCAGAAATGGTGTTCCGGTGGCAGTGGAAATGTGCAGCCACTTGTTGTTGAGACATTTGCCCACGGACCATCCCAATGGCCTCATGACGTTGTGCAGACGTGAGCCTTGGCATGCTATGCGTTTCAATAGCCGTTTAATTTTTTGAACGATCGCAAAGGCAGGGGTTGAGCTTTCCAAAGTGACAGTATTGTGTGGCATTCATTTGCTCTGTTTGTCTTTCCCGGAATGCACGTGCAACAACGTATTGCATGTCTCAAGGACGAACCCACTGACGTCGCGGAACGTGGCACGTGCATGCATGTTGGATACATGTCACTATTCTCTGAGTTTAAATCCTTATGTGTCTACACAGCTTTGATAAATTTAGATTTTATTTTTTTGTATGCACAGTTTGTTTATGTGCCTAGTGTATATCAAATATCATTTGTAAATGAGTGAGGTCTTGCCTTCCCTATTAATCGTATCATGTATTCCACATGAGTCCAGCAGTTCCTTTAATTGTATTTCTCAAATTCAACGTTTAAAGAATTTTCTGAAGTCTCCCACAGCTAAGAAATTTCATAACCAGTTTCGAACAGCTTCAAAGCCTCCTTAACAATTCTCCAATTTCTGTTTGTTTTTAAAAAAAAGTTTTTATGTTATCAGTGGAATGAGTTTAGTCTTTTCTAAAGGGCATGTGCGTGTGCGTGTGCGTGTGCGTGTGCGTGTGCATGGTCTTGTGCGGGCGTTTTAATTCGAATCTACATCGAAACCTCTCTCTTTGAAATAAAAAAGTTGACGTTTATAATTAAAGTTGTGTTTCATTATTGACTCACCAACTTCTAGAATACCGATCAAACAAAATTAGAAGATGGTTTTATTGAATCGTCAGTCATTATTGCCTTTCGGGCCTATATCGTATCCTAATGGCGTTGAATGATGATTATGATGTCAACGCTGGACTGTCTGGTCCAGACTTGATTACTTACATACCGCCGTCGTGTAGCTGCAATATTGCTGAGTATGGCGTTAATCAACAACATAAAACATATGTAGGCATTGTCTGATTAACTATTGTATCGTGTGGCATTGTGTGATGTTATCTTAAGTAACATTGTTTTGTTTTACAACGTTCGCACATAGGTCCTTGGAGTGGAACCTGTCGGCAGATTTGTCGACGCGTCTCTGAAATTGCAAGAAAAGCGTACTTTGACATTTTCAACCACACATAGCAATTCTGCAACAGCGATAAATTTAAATGATTGCGATGCCAATCCTGAGAGGATCACATTTAAACAGGTAAAATCATGACGGATGACTCCACTTTAAAAAGTGTGTTGTGACTAGTTTTCATGTTGAGAATTCTGTCAATTGCCAAGTAACTTAGAGAAAATCTGGGTAGTTCATATGAGTAAACCAATTCTTCCGTGACAGTAACATTGTCATTAGTTCCACTGTGTGTGAGTTTGTGTAAGCGCTTACATATTAAATGTTTACATTATCAGTTGACGTGGATATCAAATGAGCTGGACAGTCATGATCTGGTCCTCTTAAGTCATTTGGACCGAGTCCAGAATCCTAAAGGTCAGTAAAGCCCAGGTTTTGTACATTCTTTAAAACCAAGCACTCTAGATTATTAATTTGCTAATTTTGTCAATTTTATACATCAACACCAGACTTGCAGTTCGATTACATCACAGAGCCTTGATGGATAAAATAGGTCGTTCACAAATGTATATCGCCAATAACGGCATATTTAGAGGATGCAGTTTACATAACCACGAGAATACATTTTAAAATGTAAACGGTTCATGTTTCGTGTCAGACTTTTACAAGCTTCACTGTGGGACGTGGTATGCAAAATGTAGGTCACAAATCTGTGTACATAGAGACAATGTATTTGGCACAACCATCAGTTGGACATTAACGATAAGTGGTGTTTCAGCGAACACTTTGAAGTGCGGTCTATTTATTCTATATTTTGCATATGTTTCTTATTATTCTTAATTCCAACGACGCATGATGTCATTATTCCAGAACGCAAATTACGTCAGATAGCACGTGTACTTTGACATGCAAATATTGCAGCATGGTTGATGCGTGTTTGGGAAATCACAAAACCCAACGGTATTGCTATCGTTGGAAGTCTCAGCGGTGAGTGGACCCTGGAGAAGATGCAACCTATGTTGGGTGAGAGGTGAGTACAACAACTCGCTTAATTTTACAGAAATATGGACTTCAGGGTGTTTCGTCCAATTCATAGTTTCCACGTGATTTGATATTGACTTCATACACAAGCAGAATACTGAAACAAATTGTCAGTGTTATGTAATCACGCAAAATGTCAGTTACGTCTACTACTATACCTTATGCGTACATGTACAGTGCACGTTACCTTCAAATTTACAGTGTATGTTACTTACATATACAATATCACTTACTTGCTTGTCCCTTGAAGATCCCTAGAATTGGCTACAACTACCCTTTGGCCCGATTGACTGGTAAGGCTCGCATCCCAGTTGCGTAACTCGATGCTCATCATGACAGACACTATATTGTCTGGACCAGAGCCGATTATTTACCGACCGCTGTTATAGTATGACCAGAAACTATTGAGAATTTTAGGAATATGTTTAATTGGATTTCTAGTATAAACAACCTTGACCAGCTATCAAGTGCTTGGTTTCATTCAAGAGAGACAACTCCGTTAATCCATTTTCATTAGTTTGTGAAGAGTTATCCCCCTTTGTTTACTTGCTAGCAGACGACATTTGTGGTGTCCACCGTGATATTGCTGGAATACTGCAAGAAAACATACTTATGTGCAGACATGATAAATACAAATTGTTCTTTCTTTTAGGATGTCATGCGTTCTGAGTGAAGCCACTGAATATCACTGTCGTTCAGGGAGTCACACTGCAGTGGTCACCGCATGGCGACATCACTAGGTAGAGACAGAGAGTCACCTCTGCTGGAAGTGCGCGATGTACATGATTTCGAAGGAAACAGATAAACTAACCGACAATGCGCTAGAGAGGAAGATGTTAGCACAGCACAATGTATAATTGCTACAACCATGGTGTGTTTTTACATTGTGAGTTGGTCATGCTGCATAAACTGAGGTTTAACAAATTTAAGAAATTATTGCATGACGTTTTCCATTAGGTTGGTATTCTTTTTGCATTGTGTATCTACACGTGTTATGATTTTGCGTTTTCCATGGAAGACTCACTGTTCACAGTCTTTTACTGGTATTGAGGTTGCATGAATGTATGGGAAGTTACGGTACAATTTATTTCTCATAATCCCCAACACAAACCGAACATAGAAGGTTTTCTTGTATTCTATTATCCCTTTAAAGTACATTTTATAAAAAAAAGATATGTTTAGATATATAAGTTAATAAATGATTGAGACTTATTTATGTTTGTGTAATTCATGTCTTGAAGCAAAAGGACAACCCCAAAACGCCTGCAGGACATTACTGAACACAAACACACACACACACTCGCACGCACACGCACACGCACGCACACACAGGGCAAGACGTACCGAAAACTTGTAATGTAGATAGTACGTTCCAATTACATATTAGCGATACCCCTATATTCCGAGCTGTCTAATTCTTACAAATACTACCCGAAAGGGTTATAAATTGGTGTTTCGGTAGAAAACATTGCAGTCTACAGATACAAACACGAGTTTTACAAAAAATGAGTTATTCAAGCTGGTTTTGACACCCTCGAATACCCGGTCCAGACCGCTTGTAATGCAGATAGTATGTTCCAATTATTGGCGATACCCCTATATTCCGAGCTGTCTAATTCTTGCAAATACTACCCCAAAGGGTTTTAAATTGGTGTTTCGGTAGAAAACATTGTAGTCTACAGATACAAACACGAGTTTTACAAAAAATCAGTTATTCAAGCTGGTTTTGACACGCTCAAATCCCCTGGCAATACGTACCGAACACTTGTAATGTAGAAAGTATGTTCCAATTATTGGCGATACCCCTACATTCCGAGCTCTCTCATTCTTGCAAATACTACCCGAAAGGGTCATTAATTGGTATTTCGGTGGAAAACATTTTAGTCTACAGATACAAACACGATTTGTAGAAAAACTCAGGTATTGAAGCTGGTTTTGACACCCTCGAATGTCCGGCGCAAACGTAGCGAACGCATATTATGTAGACAGTATGTTCCAATTATTGGCGATACCCTTACATTCCGAGCTCTCTAATCCATGCAAATACTACCCGAAAGAGCCATAAATTGGTATTTCGGTAGAAAACATTGTAGTCTACAGACACAAACACGATTTCTACAAAAACTGAGGTATTGAAGCTGGTTTTGACACCCTCGAATACCCGTCGCAGACGTACCGAACGCTTGTAATGTAGACAGTATTTTCCAATTATTGGCGATACCCATAATTTCCAAGCTGTCTCATTCTTGCAAATATTACCCGAAAGGGTCTTAAATTGGTATTTCGGTAGAAAACATTGTAGTCTACAGATACAAACACGATTTTTGCAAAACTGAGGTATTCAATTGCTGGTTTTGACACCACGATTTTTACAAAACTGAGGTATGCCCGGCGCACCCTTGAATGCCCGGCGCAAACGTAGCGAACGCTTGTTATGTAGACAGTATGTTCCAGTTATTGGCGATACCCCTACATTCCAAGCTGTCTCATTCTTGCCAATACTACCGAAAAGGTCATCAATTGGTATTTCGGTAGAAAACATTGTAGTCTACAGATACAAACACGATTTTTACAAAAACTGAGGTATTCAAGCTGGTTTTGACACCCTAGAATGCCGGGCCCAGACGTACCGAACGCTTATAATGTAGAACGTATGTTCCAATTATTGGCGATACGCCTACATTCCGAGCTGTCTCATTCTTGCAAATACTACCCAAAAGGGCCATAAATTGATTTTAAGGTAGAAAACATTGTAGTCTACAGATACAAATACGATTTTTACAAAAACTCAGGTATTCATGCTGGTTTTGACACCCTTGAATGCCCGGCGCAAACGTAGCAAACGCTTGTTATGTAGACAGTATGTTCCAATTATTAGCGATACCCCTACATTCCGATATGTCTACTTCTTGCAAATACTACCCGAAAGAGCCATAAATTGGTATTTCGGTAGAAAACATTGTAGTCTACAGATACAAATACGATTTTTACAAAAAATCAGTTATTCAAGCTGGTTTTGACACGCTCAAATCCCCTGGCAATACGTACCGAACACTTGTAATGTAGAAAGTATGTTCCAATTATTGGCGATACCCCTACATTCCGAGCTCTCTAATTCTTGCAAATACTACCCAAAAGGGCCATAAATTGATTTTAAGGTAGAAAACATTGTACTCTACAGATACAAATACGATTTTTACAAAAACTCAGGTATTCATGCTGGTTTTGACACCCTTGAATGCCCGGCGCAAACGTAGCAAACGCTTGTTATGTAGACAGTATGTTCCAATTATTGGCGATACCCCTACATTCCGATATGTCTACTTCTTGCAAATACTACCCGAAAGAGCCATAAATTGGTATTTCGGTAGAAAACATTGTAGTCTACAGATACAAACACGATTTTTACAAAAACTGAGGTATTCAAGCTGGTTTTGACACCCTCGAATGCCCGGCGCAAACGTACCGAACGCTTGTTATGTAGACAGTATTTTCCAATTATTGGCGATACCCCTACATTCCGAGCTCTCTCATTGTTGCAAATACTACCCGAAAGGATCATTAATTGGTATTTCGGTGGAAAACATTTTAGTCTACAGATACAAACACGATTTGTACAAAAACTCAGGTATTGAAGCTGGTTTTGACACCCTCGAATGCCCGGCGCAAACGTAGCGAACGCTTGTTATGTAGACAGTATGTTCCAGTTATTGGCGATACCCCTACATTCCAAGCTGTCTCATTCTTGCCAATACTACCGAAAAGGTCATCAATTGGTATTTCGGTAGAAAACATTGTAGTCTACAGATACAAACACGATTTTTACAAAAACTGAGGTATTAAAGCTGGTTTTGACACCCTCGAATACCCGTCGCACACGTACCGAACGCTTTTAATGTAGACAGTATTTTCCAATTATTGGCGATACCCCTAAATTCCGAGATGTCTGATTCTTGCAAATATTACCCGAAAGGGTCATAAATTGGTATTTCGGTAGAAAACATTGTAGTCTACAGATACAAACACGACGTGTACAAAAACTGAGGTATTCAAGCTGGTTTTGACACCCTCGAATACCCGTCGCAGACGTAGCGAACGCTTGTAATGTAGACAGTATTTTCCAATTATTGGCGATACCCCTACATTCCGAACTGTCTCATTCTTGCAAATATTACCCGAAAGGGTCTTAAATTGGTATTTCGGTAGAAAACATTGTAGTCTACCGATACAAACACGATTTGTACAAAAACTGAGGTATTCAAGCTGGTTTTGACACCCTTGAATGCCCGGCGCAAACGTAGCGAACGCTTGTTATGTAGACAGTATTTTCCAATTATTGGTGATACCCCTAAATTCCGAGCTGTCTCATTCTTGCCAATACTACCGAAAAGGTCATCAATTGGTATTTCGGTAGAAAACATTGTAGTCTACAGATTCAAACACGATTTTTACAAAAACTGAGGTATTCAAGCTGGTTTTGACACCCTCGAATGCCGGGCCCAGACGTACCGAACGCTTGTTATGTAGACAGTATTTTCCAATTATTGGCGATACCCCTGCATTCCGAGCTCTCTCATTGTTGCAAATACTACCCGAAAGGGTCATTAATTGGTATTTCGGTAGAAAACATTGTAGTCTACAGATACAAACACGATTTGTACAAAAACTCAGGTATTCAAGCTGGTTTTGACACACTCGAATGTCCGGCGGAAACGTAGCGAACGCATATTATGTAGACAGTATGTTCCAATTATTGGCGATACCCCTACATTCCGAGCTCTCTAATCCATGCAAATACTACCCGAAAGAGCCATAAATTGGTATTTCGGTAGAAAACATTGTAGTCTACAGACACAAACACGATTTCTACAAAAACTGAGGTATTGAAGCTGGTTTTGACACCCTCAAATACCCGTCGCAGACGTACCGAACGCTTTTAATGTAGAAAGTATTTTCCAATTATTGGCGATACCCCTAAATTCCGAGCTGTCTCATTCTTGCAAATATTACCCAAAAGGGTCATAAATTGGTATTTCGGTAGAAAACATTGTAGTCGACAGATACAAACACGACTTGTACAAAAACTGAGGTATTCAAGCTGGTTTTGACACCCTCGAATACCCGTCGCAGACGTACCGAACGCTTGTAATGTAGACAGTATTTTCCAATTATTGGCGATACCCCTAATTCCAAGCTGTCTCGAAATACCCGAAAGGGTCTTAAATACATTTCCAGAGCATTGTAGTCTACAGATACAAACACGATTTTTACAAACTGAGGTATTCAAGCTGGTTTTGACACCCTTGAATACCCGTCAAACGTAGCGAACGCTTGTTATGTAGACAGTATGTTCCAGATTGGCGATACCCCTACATTCCAAGTTGTCTCATTCTTGCCAATACACCGAAAAGGTCACAATTGGTATTTCGGTAGAAAACATTGAGATTTTTACAAAAACTGAGGTATTGAAGCTGGTTTTGACACCCTCGAATGCCGGGCCCAGACGTACCTGAACGCTTGTAATGTAGAGAGTATGTTCCAATTATTGGCGAAACCCCTACATTCCGAGTTGTCTAATTCTTGCAAATACTACCCGAAGAGTCATAAATCGGTATTTCGGTAGAAAACATTGTGGTCTACAGATACAAACACGATTTTTACAAAAACTGAGGTATTCAAGCTGGTTTTGACTCCCTTCTTGAATGCCGGGCGCAGACGTACCGAACGCTTGTAATGTAGAACGTATGTTCCAATTATTGGCGATACCCCTACATTCCGAGCTGTCTTATTCTTGCAAATACTACCCGAAAGAGTCATAAATTGGTATTTCGGTAGAAAACATTGTAGTCTACAGATACAAACACGATTTGTACAAAACTGAGGTATTCGCTGCTTTTGACACCTCGAATGCCGGGCCCAGACGTACCGAACGCTTATAATGTAGAACGTATGTTCCAATTATTGGCGATGCCCCTACATTCCGAGCTGTCTCATTCTTGCAAATACTACCGAAAGGGTCATAAATTGGTATTTCAGGTAGAAAAACATTGTAGTCTGCAGATACAAACACGATTTGTACAAAAACTGAGGTATTGAAGCTGGTTTTGACACCCTCGAATGCCCGGTGCTGAACGTACCGAACACTTGTTATGTTGACAGTATGTTCCACTTATTGTTGATACCCACTACATTCCAAGCTGTCTCCAGTGTTC